GTGTTTGCTGATTTTTCTCCTCTATTTGTATTTTAGTTATATTCTCATTTACATCGCGAGAAACGGCGGCGTCGTATTTATCGTCGCTATCGTCGAAGGTAATTTCCCAACTTTCGTCAGAACTACAAGTAGCTTCGGTAGAGGTCGAAACGTTCTCGCAATTATTTTGCGCACTTAGCCAGCATTTTAATTTATAAGCATTGTATAACGCGCAATGAAAGGTTCCAAATTTTCGAATCCCGTGATGACCGCAATATTGTACGATATTCTCCTCATCCGGTAGATTTTTAAATGCTGGTGAGGTACCCTCCAAATTATTTATATCTCTGGAAAGTAAATTCCTCAAGTAGTTTGCTTTTTCGTTACCTCTGACGTAAACGCAGCGCGCGTGTCTTGCGATTTCGCGGAGATGCGAGGTAAAATATTTAGGATTAACTGAGCCGTCGAACCACTCGATACCGTGATAATTTCGTGAGAGCCAATTGTTTTCTCGTCTTGCTTTTGCGGGTAATTTTCCAAACGCGTATGGTGGCATCATAATCCAATGCTCGACAATCGGAGCATCGATTGCGACAACGGCGACTTCCTTCGCGATAAATTTATTGGCTTCATCGCGGAAACCTTGTATGTCGACGACTATGTCCATATTGTGAGATTTTCGTTGGTGAGGTACAAGCTCTTAGCGAAACGTGCGCGTTTGTTCGTGTCTCGTACAAAACTGAATTCATTCTAGCGCGTTACATAGTTTCCACTTCGTGAATAGCGTCATCGAAATTTCCAAAGGAAGAGGAGGGGAAAATTTTCTAATCGCGTATTACATTACTGTGTATAAATACATGTTGGTGAACGAGTGTTAAAAGCTAACCGGAAAAATCGACGATAACTTGACGCGATGCGTCGATTTCTACGACATTATCGAATTCGGCGTAAACGATACAATTAATTGTTTCGGTGAGTGCCTTCTCGAATCTCACTTCTAACCGAAGACTTCCGTGTCTCACGAGATTCCAATGACCGGCGCAATTAGCGGATAGATCGGGTGTAAGATCAAAAGCGAATAACGTATATCCCCGAGAATAATCATCTCTACTTATAGAATTTCCCTCGTTCAAAAAATGGATACCCGTCCCTGAGAAGAGCGTATGATAAGCTTCGATGTAAAGCGGTTCGCGAGACGAGAAAACCGGTTGTAACGGTCTACTGGGTATTTGTGTACCGTCGACGTATAGCGAGAAGAAATTTATTCCGTAATTTGGAAATTAAACGGATTCAATTTTCTGTCACCGTTAAACGCTTTATTATCGACGAAACCTACTATTATTCGTTTTGGTAATTGTCCCAGTATTACATTATCTAACGATTCACCCCAAACCCACTGTGAATCGTGAATGTTTTAATTTCAACTCTCGTAAGCGGATACTTGGCGGTAACTTTGCTCAGCATTCTAGCATGCGCTAGTAATACTCCGGAACTTATTTTCGCTCTTCTCACCATTAGGCTTGCATCGAGTATACGAATTTTCGACGTGCAATTAGTTTCTATGAAACAAAACGTATTTTCGAGCGCACGAGTCTCAACCGCACCTCGACGCCATTAATTAAGAATTTGTCCTGATTGAAAACGTCGCAATGGAGGTGACCTATAAGATCTAGCGCGCGCCCTCCGCGTATGTAACGAGCTCGTCTCGCTATAGCGGTATTGCCTTCCGCTCCTACTGTATCGTCCATGTGACCGGGTGTATCCGCATCCCATAAGCACGAGGTTAGATGGGAAGTTTTTGCGGGTGATGAATAATTTAACAACGCTTCGATGTACGCGCGGTACGCATAAGCGTTGTTTGGAGGCGACACGAGCTTTTGATTGAAATACACGTCGATTTGATTGAAGATGGAATGAAGAAAATGATTTACGGGGCCCACGTTGACGGCGGATCCGGTGGCGAGACCAGGTAGCGGCTCGGTTTCTACACGTACCCGAAGACTTAGTAACGTGTGTGTGAGATCTAAATATTCTTCTCCGTGACCCGGGATGACGAATTCTAGCGGGGAGTCGTCCGAAAGCGAGGTCACGGGTTTGTAATAAATCCATTGCGAACTTTCGATGCTAGTTTGCGTGGGCGGTAAAGAGAAGAGATCGAGCTCGCTCTTTAAACACTCGCTCGAGTGTGTGTGAAGAAATGAAATTTTTTTCTTTCACCGCCTGCTCTACCAACGTTATTGTCACGAACAAGCGTATTTAGAATAATGGCGATTATGAAATATATCGTATACTGTACGCTTTTTACCGCTATTAGCTTTACGCCGTTTCGCGGACAACTTGAGTCTTTTTACAGTCGAGCGATTTTTCCTCGTATTATTTTTAGTTTTTTTGTATTTGTTCTTTTTTCCCACGCGACTTGATTTTCGATAAACTTTTTTTCTTATTTGTCTTACGACGTTTACGCGATGCGGTTACCGAGGATTTAGCGACGTGAGTCTTAAGCCTGCCGAAAGGAAACTGCGCTACATGAATTTTTTCATCCGATTTATATCCCCTACCTTTCATTAGACTACTTATTTTTTCCCTAGCTTTTCTCTTAAGATTGTCACGCGATTGTTCAAAACGATGCTTGACAGCTACCTTTAACGGCATTTTATTTTCAACATCCTCGATTATATTAACCCCGGCGCGCAAAGCTTCTTTACCCACTGCCCCTAGTCCTCTAGTTAAATAAGGCAATACGCGTCTGAACATTCCTCCGAGAAAACTACCTATTCCATGACCTCGTTGATAGGGTGAACCGACAAAAACTCGTGGAATTCCACCGCCGCGAGTTCCACCGTTTTGTAATCCGTTATAATACTCCGAATAATAATCCATATTGTAATGTATTAGGATACGGTACTGGGAGCGAGCAGCGGCGCGACGGCACGAGTGGAAATGACTGATCCGCACTCGATATAGAAGTAAGTCAGTCGAGCGTGGCGAGCGTCACGGACGCACGCGGGTACATACATATATCTGTATAACTTTTACTCAGCATTAAAATATCTTACGGTGATTGCGAAGCGGAATTGGTCATCAATTGTTAATGAGCCACCTCACCCGATACACTACAATTGGCGACGAGGACAGAGGTTTTACGAACCGAAGCAAAGGTTTCGAATAGTGTGAAAGTCGTAGGAATTTCACGTTTCGGCGTAGGGTACGAGGCGACAATAAACAGAAGCACGAAAGGACGATAACAGCAAACGCGGATGGCACAAGCGACGCAAGATTTAATCGACTATACGAAAACGTCGTGGATTTATGAACTAAAAAAACCGGAACTAAGAAAAATAATCCAAGATTTAAAATTGGTGGCGGATGAAAATTTAAGTATCGACGAGTTACGCAGAATTGTACGCGCGCACGTAAGCGAGATCAACGAAAGCAGATCAAAGCAAGCGGACGAGGCTTGTAATTTATTAGTAAACAACGAGAAACCGAAAATCATCCACACAATGACGGAGAGTAGTAGTGCGAAATTGGAATTTCACCTCGGAGATGACTGGGAAACATACACCGAGAGACTGGAGCTATATTTTGTCGCAAACGATGTGAAGGACGAGAAACAAGCAGCGGTATTGCTAACAAAAATAAGCGCAGACACGTATAAGCTTATTAGAGATTTGTGTACACCAGTTAAGCCGTCAGCGAAGACATTTGCACAATTAGTGAAATTAGTCAACGATCACTTGAATCCAAAGCCATCGGAAACGATGGAAAGATGCAAATTTCATCAAGCACAACAATCGCATACAGAATCAGTAGCAGAATTTGCAGCAAGGTTGAAAAATTTATCAATTACATGCAATTTCGGGAACAACGCGACAACAGCGCTACGAGACCAACTTGTTTGTGGCTTAAGAGATCACGCGACGAAAACATTGTTATTTCGAGAGGAGAACTTAACGTTCGATAAGGCATTCAAGTTAGCGACAACAGTAGAATCGGCAGAAAAAAATGCTAGCTCTACAAGTAGACCAAACGGAGAGTCGTCGAAAGAAACAGTAAATAAATTTCAAGGAAATTCAGAGAATAATCGTCAGTTCCAGTCACGGGGCAAGGGGTCAAACCGAGGTAAGCAAGGGAGCCCACAGCATAACAATACACGACCAGGGGTCAAAGATAAGCGGACGACAAACATAAACCAAGAACGTTCTTCTTCATGTTACTGCTGCGGAAAAAATAATCACTGGGCACGTGATTGTTACCATCGCTTCAACACGTGTAATATCTGCAAGCAGAAAGGACACTTGGCTTCAGTATGCAAAACCGGAAGAGCAGTCCAGCATATACAGCAGGGTACAGATGACCACGAGGAACAGCAACGGGACGAGTACGACTTCTTCATGGCAACAGACGGCAACGACTCATCAAAAACAACAAGCGGTAAATTATACTATAAGGACCATGTAAATGATGTAGAAGCGGAACCAATGTATATGAGTATGATGATTAACGGAAAAAGGATAGAAATGGAAATTGATACAGGGTCATATGCGGCGATAATTTCAAAAAAAGATAGAGAATTGTATTTCCCGAACTGTGAAGTCAAAGCAAGCAAAGTACCGTTGAAAGCATATGGCAAAGTGTTGTTAGAACATGAAGGTATACTTGATAACTTAGATGTTAGGTTAGGTAAACAAAGAGCAACACTTCAAATGCGAGTAATGACGAGAGACGGTCCTATATTAATTGGTAGACACTGGTTGAAAGTTTTTGGGTTGTGGCCTTTCGAATTAAAGAAAAGAGTTGAATTTTGCAACAAAATTAACTTAATGAGCGTAACAAAAGATTTCACATCTAAATATCCAAAATTATTCGGTAAAGGACCAGGTTTATACAATAAAGGAATGCTGAAACTAATGGTAAAAGAAGGTACGAAACCTGTGGCACTAAAAGCGAGACATTTACCATTCGCGTTGGCAAGTAAAGTTGAAGATGAGATAAACAGACTAGTAAGATTAGGTCATTTAGAGAAAATCGATGTCAGTGAATGGGCAACACCGATTGTCCCGGTAATAAAATCAGACGGATCTGTTAGAATTTGTGGAAATTTTAAACTAACGTTAAATCCCAGCTTGATTAGAGACAGGCACCCAATACCATTAATCGACGAGATTTTTGTAGCGTTAAGAAACGGTAAAACTTTTTCACAGATTGATCTGCAGCACGCTTATATGCAGATCCCGGTAGAGGAAAGCAGTCGAGATTTCCTGACAATAATAACGCACAAAGGTCTCTACCGGTACACAAAAATGACGGAAGGAATTGCATCAGGTCCAGGAGATTTTCAGCGGAAAATAGAGCAGTGTCTATCAGGCATCGATGGTGTAATTCCTTATCTAGACAATATTTTTGTAACGGGAGAAACCGACGAAATTCATTTAAAAACATTGTATATGGTATTCCAAAGATTAGAACAAAGTGGATTTCATGTAAATATCAATAAATGTGATTTTTTCAAAGAGAAGCTAGACTTGTTAGGATTTGTTATTAACAAGGAGGGATTACACAAATCAGAAACAAAAGTGAAAGCAATGACAAATGCACCGGTACCGCGAAATAAGAAACAATTAGAATCTTTTATCGGATTGATTACTTATTATGCGAGATTTCTACCTAATAGAGCAGAAAAGTTACAACCTTTATATAAATGTGCTAAAGCGGAAACGTTTAAATGGACGGTAGAATGTCAAAAAGCAGTTGATTGGGTCAAAATGGAATTAATATCACCTCGAGTATTGGCACACTACGATCCGAAAGAAGATTTAGTATTGTCATGTGATGCGTCCACGTATGGATTAGGAGCAATTTTAGCGCACCGATATAAAGATGGTACGGAGAAACCAATAGCTTATGCATCTAAAGTAATACCGGAAAAAGAATTAAATCGCGCAATCATTGATAAGGAAGCCAGTGCAATCGTATTTGGATTTAAAAAGTTCTACAACTATATTTACGGAACAACTACACTAACGTTACGGACAGATCACAAACCTTTGGTTTTTATCTTTGGTCCAAAGCAAGAAATTCCTTTGACGGTAGCAAGTAGATTACAAAGATGGGCGTATTTTCTATCGAGATTTACATACACCATAGAGTACGTTACATCGCAGGAAAATAGAAACTGTGATGCACTGTCGAGACTTCCGATTAACGATAGCATTCAGATATTTGATAATGAATTTACAATGATAAATTATGTTTCAGAAGCTTTAGATACATTAAACGCGAAAAAAATTGCAAAAGAAACAAAGAAGGATAAGCTATTGAGTAACGTTATTAAGTATATAAGCGGTACATGGCCAGCGGTAAGCGAGATGAATGAGGATGAGAATAAATTCTATGCGAAACGGGATGAATTGAATGTCGAAAAAGAGTGCTTACTGTGGGGATATCGCATAGTGGTACCAGAAGCAGTAAAACCCAGTGTTCTAAGTGAATTGCACGCGTCACATTTTGGGGTGGTAAAAATGAAAATGTTGGCAAGAAACTATGTGTGGTGGCCAAACATTGATAAAGACATTGAGAATGTAGCAACGGCATGTAAAGTGTGCGTGCAAGAGAGAAAGAAACCGCCTAATGTTCCGCTAACGCCATGGCCGTATCCCGATAAGTGCTGGAGTAGGATACATACTGATTTCCTAGGTCCTGTTCATGGACATATGTTCATGGTAGTAATGGATGCGTATTCGAAATGGCCAGAAGTTATCGATATGAACAAATGCACCACGGCAGAGAGGGTCATTGAGGAGTTTAAGAAAATTATAGTTAGGTACGGATTACCGAAGCATGTAGTAACTGATAACGGCACACAATTCACGAGTAACGAATTTCGAGAATTTTGTAAAGCGAACGGTATCAAGCAGAGTTTCACAGCACCGCATCATCCAGCAACAAATGGTGCAGCTGAAAACTTTGTCGGTACTTTCAAAGATAAAGTCAATAAAATAATGCAAGGCGGGAAATCATTAGAATATGCAGTTAATCTATTTTTGTTTGACTATAGATCCATTGAGCATTGCACTACAGGCAGATCACCGGCGTTCATGATGTTTAAACGAGAAATAAGAACGCGCTTTGAGTTAATGAAACCGAGTGTAATCGATGATGTAGAGAAACAACAGAGAGCGCAAATCATAAGTAGACGCGGTAATCGAAATGTTGAGTTCCAAACAGGTGACATGGTAATGGTTGAGGATTTTGGTGTCAGAAGTAAAAAACGGGTCGTAGGCACGATCGAAGAAAAAGTATCACCGGTAACGTTTAGGGTGAAGGTTGCACCTGATAAGCTATGGAAACGACATGTCGATCAAATCATTAGATACACACCGACGGTGGTCGATAACGATAAAGGTACAGCGGTACCAGCAAGCGAATCTCGAGTGAAGCTACGCCGCTCGGAAAGAACAAGTAAAGGGGGCGAGTTGTAATGTATTAGGATACGGTACTGGGAGCGAGCAGCGGCGCGACGGCACGAGTGGAAATGACTGATCCGCACTCGATATAGAAGTAAGTCAGTCGAGCGTGGCGAGCGTCACGGACGCACGCGGGTACATACATATATCTGTATAACTTTTACTCAGCATTAAAATATCTTACGGTGATTGCGAAGCGGAATTGGTCATCAATTGTTAATGAGCCACCTCACCCGATACACTACATATTAATGAACAAAATCCTTCTTTCTTATCAAAAAAATCTTTACAGAGTATTTTTAAAAATCTAATCGATACGTTTAAAATGTAAAGTCACCGTTAACGTGCCGGATTCAAATGGTATATTTTTTCCAGTATCGTCTTTTATATCGATTTCAATCCGTCGGAAATTTGTTAGGCGCACCGGGATATAATGCGGAGGTGAGAAATATTTCACTTGATTCGTTCCATATTCGTAATCGCGCCCCACCCCTGTGACAGGCACTATTCGGAGAAGAGGAGTTTGCACATCGCCTGTTATGTAAGGTTCGCAAATATCGCAATAAACGAACAGTTTATCGGGAATACCCCGCGCCAAACTACACGCTTCGTAACTATAGAATCCTTCGCGACGTACTCCATTTTCGTCAAGAGAACCGAGTTGAAGAAAAATTGAAGTAGATTTTTCTTTGGAATTAAGCTTAGATGTCGTGAGCATAGAACAATAGTGACTTCTCCCCTTAGGAGCGTTATAAATAAAATCAGCTAAACCGATCATTTGCAAAAGTCTATCGGAAAAATGCATATAATGAATCAGATTGCAACCAGCGGGACACGCGAGGAAGAAAAAAATACTACCGCCTGTAAATTTTTCTTGCTCCAAACGAATATGGGAACCGGCTTCTTTGCACGACGAATTAATCGTGGAGACGAGCTCTTCCATATTATTATAAACGCCATTTGATATTACGGCTTCCTTCGAAGTTAACACCTCATCTTCTTTATTTTTCTCTTTAACTTGAGGGTCGATATCGACGAAACTGAGTATATTTTCTCCGCGCCTTACATGAAAAAAGGTATTAGGGAATTGGATTTCGCTCAACGCGACTTCCCAGTCACCGTGTAAGTGCAGCGATTGAGGTAATTCCGTAATGAACGATGAGGTTTTATTGTCGGGGGAATAGCGTATACTGCTATTGCTTGGAAGAACCAGAAGAAATTGATCCACCCTCATTTCGAAGAATAGTTAAATTCGAAGCGGGTATCCAGGAGTTAAATTTAGAAGGATACCCTTGCCAGCTAACTAATAATTGTTTATTGTTACCGCGTCCTCTGCTTTTTATCACACGATCGACGATAAATTCCTCGTCGCGTAAGTCTTTAATAACCGGTGCTAATTCTTGTTCGTAAAAAATTCCGTCTATAATTTCACCCGATAAATCACTTAATTCATATACGCGGGGTTTTCTCCATTCGAGAACTCGATGAATTCGAAATATCTCCTCGCTCCACTTCGCCTCGTATCCTTTCTCGAAGGTTACTTTTGCTCTACTGACGCGTACGAGATCGTTCACGCGGTATTTAGCCTTTTGTTTACGCCCACGCTTCTTTTTCTTTTCTTTATCGTTATCCCATCGTCGTTTCATATTTTCACACGCGGTACGAGCATTTTCTCGCGTAACGACAGCGGGTTGCATTTTGATGGTGGAATGACGAGTATGATTGTAAGCGTGAACAATATCTTGTAAAACATCAAAGTAACGACGTGTATTTTTATGCGTAAAATAACGCCACATCCGCTCCTTGAGTGTTCTATTAAATCGTTCCACTATAGACGCTTTAATATCGGGATTGCGCGTTACGCGAAAACGGATGTCTTTTTCTTTTAAGAAATTTTGTACAGGGCGGGCGATAAATTCTTTGCCTTTGTCGGTCTGTAAGTATACAGGTAGTCGACCCTCGTTTCTCGAAAATATTTGTTGAAAGGCCTTTATTACGCAGGTAGCTGTTTTGTCACGTAAAGGTTCTACCCAAACAAATTTACTAAGCACATCGATAACCGTTAATAGATAAGAATAACCGTCATTATAGCTCTTGAGATTACGAAGATCGATTAAATCGGCTTCCCATAAATCATCGATATTTGTTACGTTATAATGTAAACGAGGAAATTTTCGTCGTACCGGCCGATGCAGCGTGTATGCATCCTGTGATTTAAGCCACTCGACGACTTTGTTACGCGTAAAATTCGGTTTAACGGCTCGCGATAAATTGTCCACCGCAGAGTAGCCTGCATAATGCGAGGGGTCGTAATAATTTTTCGAATTCCATCAATTGAGATTTATCCAATCGAGTAAACCTCTTCTTCTCTTTGACGGAGAAACTACGTTATGTGGTAATGTTCTATCGTCGTCACCGTCGTCGTCGTCACCTTCTCGTCGGCGGATATAAATTGCGTATCTCCTTCGGTTTCACTCGCTTCGTCTAACCTGTGACTGTACGATTTTGAACGTGTGATCGGAGTGGAGGATCCGCGAGGTAACGCGGTAGTAATATAGCGAGATCGCGCGCCTACTTTTAATAACTTTTGATTTCCTATGAGACGCGGTGACGTACCTATGTCACGTAGTAATCGAGCAAACTGATTTCTTCCGGTTGCTTCTACCGTTTTTCTCTCGCGTACCGCATCGTTTATAAGTTCCGCGATATTCGAACCCTCCACAATGTCGCCGTCTATAGTTACGAGCCCTTGTCTATTCCAGTTAATCTTAGATGACGGAGTAAGGAGCAGTTGCTTCATTATCAAGCGTGCTTTACTACGATAACTTTTCGGAACACTATTAAGTATTTTTTGTATCATTTCCGCTGATTGAGCGCGTTTTTTCTCGAAACTACTACTACTAGCGGCGCTAATGTTACCGTCGCTGGTAATTAAAGTTTGCGTTTCCATAAGTTCATCGTCATCATCGAAGTTATCATCCTCTTGCTCTTTCGTGTCTTCGTCCTGTTCTCCATCGCGTTCATCGCTGGCGTGCACGTTTTTGCGTAAACGTTTTCTCGCAGCACGAATAAATTGAAGATAACGCTGAAGTACCTCCTTATACATTTTCCATCTTTCGTCCTCGCTGACCTGAGGTGTGAGATTCAGAATACGCCACATCTCTGCATCGAGCCGTGACAAAGGAGTTCCCGGGGTCCGTACGGAATTATTAGTATCATTTTCCACATTCGATATCTCGGTAATTTTATTCGATGAATTATCGGCCGACGCGTTAGAGGAAATTTCCGGTTGTCGCTGCAGTCTTTCGAGATTTTCCGACGAAATTAAAACCATTTTTTTTGCTCTTTCCATTATTGAATTGTAAATATTTTATCTTTTTCACATTTGACGCAACAAATATACACAGAATAGCGTCCCTTTTTTAATCTCCAATGATCCGGGATAATATAGCTCCGAGTATAGGAGCAATAAGATAGGGTAAGAATCCGCCGCGTTGCACCAATAGTTTTCTCTTAACTTTCAAATTATCTTTTTTCGCAGCAATACGACGTAGGATCGATTTATGTCTAGCAAGGCGTTTCTTTTCACTACTCGCAAGCGGTACGTTACCTTTAAGAGTATTGAAAACGCACTCTTGAATACACTTAATGAGATTATTATCGACGGAACGTAAAAACGCTGTTCTTTGATTTTTTTTCAGATAACATAAAGTTTTCAAAAGATTCGTGTTTCTTTCGCCGATAGATCGTCTAGCGATTTTTACCGCGCCGTCGGATGAATTCTTCGACGACGACGATGATGCCGGTTGCGATTTTTTTCTTTTTTTACCATCGCAGTGTAATTGCACGAGTGACAAGTCGTGTGTGAATACGAGTCTTTTATACGCCTCCGCCTCTTTTGATCGATCTACGTGGAATGTACGCGTAATGCAGCTTATCGTTGGGAAAGATACACGTCCGAAATCGATATTCATCTGGAGTCGATTGTTTTAAATCGAGCAATAAATACCCGTGAGGCTTCGAGGTAGCGTCGTAGTACGCTTCTTCCATAAACTTAGGATCGTCCGGATATACTTGACGCGCTAAATGCCGAATTTGCGCGCGATCGCGTGGATTTTTGAAAACTACTATGTAATTCGCATTGAGAGATATGTCGCGTTGTCCGCGTCCCTGATGGAAGAGATTTTGCGAAATGAGAATAACACTGAGATTCTTATGATGGCTTCCTTTAGTAAACAGATCTACGATAACATCGCACGATGACGACTCTCTCATAAGATCGTCGATTATCACTAATTTCGGGGTGAGTGGATCGTAAGAATAATCTTCCGGGCGCGGTAAACCCTCGTGAAATTCGATTATATTTTTCTTCGAGTTTATCGGAACGCTATTTGCATATACGTTCTTTTTTCTTACGCTACTCTTCTCTTCTCTTTCATTTTCATCGCATTGCAGGCGTTGATAGGCATCTTGCCACTCGGCGTAATAAAATAAAATTCTCTCGAATCGAGTATCGGACACGTCGGACAAATAACGAAGAAATGTTTTCACGAAAATCGTTTTTCCACATCCCGTAGGTCCGCAGACGATCGACGTCCAAGGATGTTTCCAGCGTACATCCATTTCCCCAAAATGAACGCGATATTCACCGTTTACGTACAATCTCGTAAATGAAAGAAAGTCTAATCCGGCGCGTTCTTAAAAACAAAAAATTAGCGTAAAGAGCGTCCGTGTATTTAAATTTTAATATTACTCATAGTATGAAATGAGTTACGGCGGAAAAAGCTTATTCGCGCACCGGGGGCCAACCCGCGGCGGTCGCATGCTCGTGCTAGCGAATAGCGCCGATCAGCTGATGAGCGCCTGGTTAGCTCGCAACTACCGATCAGCTGATGAGCGCCTGGTTAGCGCACCGCTACCGATCAGCTGACGAGCGCTACGTTGCGCTGCCCACAATCAGCTTTTAATCAAATGTTCTCGTTGGTGTGTATGTCTTGCGATAGCGGACGTATGTGAGTTCGGCATGAATATATTTGAATATATAAAAATTGTACGTAACAAGAATTTTTTAAAAATTAAATATTTTTATGTTAAAGTTTTTCAGACAAAAAAAAATTATATTAAAAATTTTGTTAAAAATTTAATATTTCACTAAATAAAAATGATTTCGCTTAAAAGGTTAATTATTATTATTAA